TGATTCAGTGACTGGGATAATCGGGATGGGAGTGTCAGAGACAGTGCGATTGGCACAGGACAGAGCAGAGTTTAGGGCTGTTGTACATACGGTCGCTTTGAGTTGCAAGCGACTTGATGGCACATAACAACAACAACAGCATTTGGTTCTGCAACACTGGGGATGGGAGGGAAAGGCAGGCGAGGTGGGGCAGGAGGAAGGGAAACCTGGACACGCACAACACACACTCTGTCTCCCCTGTGAACATTATTAGTGCAAGAGAGTTCTATGTGTGTGTTCCTCTTAGAGGCGGGGTGCTTATAGATTTGAAGGAGGAGTCAGGAATTTTGGGGCCTCCTAGGACTGCTGGTAAGATCATTGCTTTCTAGGCGGTCAAATATTTTGCCTTGCTGTTCTCAATTTGAAAACCCATCATTTTATAGCAACATTTTATCATAGTGCCATCAAGTTAACTGCGACTCATAGCAACCCTCCATTGGCTTTCCATGTCTGCAAATCACAGCGGGAGGAGATGGCCCATGTTTCAGGACCAACATTTCAGCAGTGATTCATTTCTTTCTGGCTGGTTGATTAGGGTGGTTTGGGATGGGCTCAGTTTTGAGTGAGATTATTTTCTTGGTCCATAAATGGAAGATTACCTGTAAATTATCCAGGATGATTCGGAGGGAATGCACCTGCCGGCGGACTGCACTTGAAAACCTTTCATAGCTGGCGGCGTCATATTCACTCATCTGGATCTCCTTCAGCCTGAAACAGAAGGAGGAGCAACAGCGTAACTCACGGACTTGGAGGCATGTTCCTGTTTAACTAGTGGAGCTAGAGTAAACTAACTTGGCAACTCAGATCAATTTGTGAAGAAAAGGAAATGAATGACACCCTCAATTTGGAGTTTCAAGGAAGGACTGTTTAGTGGTATGCTGGTGAACAAGCTTAGGACAGAAGCAAACATTCTGACTTGTTTGTAGCATTTGCCAGTTTCCCTGGCATACATGTTGTGTGTTATAAATTGTGATGGATTTCAAGCTATCAACAGTGAAGACACTGAACAAGGAGTTAGGAAAAAGGCACTCAAAGACTAGGCTTCCACGAGTCAGGGTTTGCTAAGCCTATAGCCCACCTTGTTGGATCTCAAAGACATATTGCCATATTGGCAGCTAATCAGTTCATAAGGCAAATAACTAGAGATTCTCCTGGTTTGCTTTTCAAGATTGAGTTTGTATAGTTAGTTGATCAAGAGAGAAGTTTAGGTATAAAATTAGAACAGAATTTGTTGCTTATCAGAAAAGAGCAAGCAAGAAAATAAAACCCGCCCTTTAGGGAGTCAGATAGATGAGGCGGGCCTACGGGAGCAGCAGCTGTAGCAGGCACAGCAGAGACCCAGAGCCCTCACATGAGATGGAGAACCAGAGACCTGACACGAGATGGGACCTTGGGGCTACACCATTAGACCAGAGCGAAAAGCCTTTTGCCCAAGTTTGTTGGATAACTGGAGGTGGGGGCCATAATTCACAGGACTGAGAATTCTGTAACACTGGCCTAAAGCCACGAAGTTTAAAGCTGAGGTGTCTGTGAGCATATTTTGGAAGCTATCCTGACTGTATTCTGCTACTAACCTGAATTACAATCTTTTGATTTTTCCCAGTAGGGTCCTATGAGCTATTACATCAAATTTTGGACTCCGTAAAGCAGTAAGATTGGTGTTTTAGATAAGTAGAAAGGGGTATGGGAGCATGAGGGGCATGTCTGACCTCATGGGAATTGGTTTTGTGTTGTTGATGGGGACTGTTCCCTTTTGTGAAGTTGGTAAAGGTCAGATATGGCCACCCCCATGTGGCCTCTGTGCTTTTACACTACAAGTGAGCTGGAGCATGGCTGAGTTTGTGAGGATGGCACAGGATAGGTCAAGGTTCAGATCTGTTGTTCATAGTGTCACTATGAGTCAGAGTTGATTCAATAGCACATACAACAACAACAACAACAACAACAACAGCAACATATGTACACATGAGTTTTCTGAAATTGCTGATGTTAAAGGCTAACTATGCTTTAATGTTACTTTGACTTTGAAATTCTACCTTCTGCTCCAATTCTCCTTATCATTTTTCGTTTGTTCTTATTATAACATCACTGATGGTGATCCTCACAGAAGAAAATGTTTCAAACTAAGAATTAGGACACATACATTTGTATGTGTGTGCATGTATATCTGAATTAGAAGCTTAATGAAAAACGTATTTATCACATGTGATGCATTCTGATATTTTCTATTCTCTTCCTCTGAGAGAAAAATCAAGACTCATTTTCCTTGAGTCTCTAACACTTGGTACAATGCTTGCACAACACAGCACTCGGGAAATTCTTTGTCAGCACACTGAAAACATTGACTATCAGAAGGTACATAATGTCAAGGCCACTACACAATCTCAATGGATATCTCCCCAGGTGATATGTGAAGGTGCCCTTTCAAGTCTAGTTTATTCTCTAGGTAAAGAACAACCAGGAATATGTATACAGAACTCATAACAATACTTCTAGTTTTAGGCCTCTATAAATTTTCATTAGATTAAGTTACAGCTCAAGTACTCAGACTGCCAGGGCTGCATACACCGAACACTGCTATATATGTCTTACTACTGATATAACTCAGATTGAAGAAGTTCTTACCTTAGGACTCTATCTATCTATCTATCTATCTATCTATCTATCTATCTATCTACATATCTATCTCTATATCTATTTTATCTATCTATCTATCTATCTATCTATCCTCTCTCTCTCTGTGTAGTTTACTGTTAGTAGTAAACATCTATTTACACACAAAAAAAATGTTAAGGAAAATGAGGGAGCCAGGTAAGCCACTTTAAGCTCATTGGTCTTTGTAGAGCTCTCAGAATCAGCTGCAGTTATGGGGCTGCCTCTGGTGAGATCATGTTGCACCCAAAATGTATGACATGCTGTTTTCATTAAGAAGCAAACTGAAAATCATATTCCAGGTTGTGTCAGCTTTCATAACGTGTTCAAAGCTGGTAACAAATTCTAAAAGATGAAGACTGAAGCAGATAAGCACATGGAAATGGAAAAAACAAGACATTTTAGCTTCCTGTTGCTAATATTCTCAAGCCTACAAATCTAGTGAAAAACGGAGAGTCAGCTATGGGTTGGTAGTGACCTGATGGTTTACAACAACCACCATCACCACCCAAGCCAAACATCCTCTGCAGTTGAGTTGGTGCTGAATCACTGTGACCCTCTGTTACTTTTCCAAGCTGTGAGTTCATCTTGCTCCTGAAAAGCAGCTGGTGGATTTGAACTTGGCTCTTTAGGTTAGCAACTCAACACCAGATCCAAACTGTACAGCACAGCTGTATCACATCCCAGTACGCTATGTGGACTAACTGTATTTGGTTACCACAGTGTATTTTTTGAGGGTATATTTATGGCTAAGCAAGACAATTTTAGTTCTAATTTTACTTTTCCTTATAGGTCAGACTTAAATACTATAACTTTGGATCATTTAAGTGAAAAACAAACATAAGTAAAGATCTATTGCATGGGGGTGATTAGTCTTGCAAATGGTAGCAGGTATAATTTCGTTCACTGGTGTCCACCCAAAAGGCCCTTCTAAATGTGTACTTCATTGTCCTTTCTATGCTCATTTTGTTGGTTTAACTTTGTTCCAGTTGGTGATTTCTGTTCTTATCTACTTCTGTTAGTCTGCCTAAGCGAAACAATCTTGATACACAAAACCAGCTCTGAATTCTAGGTGGAAATAACAAGAATTCACTAGTAATATCAAGTTCTTTCTGGCACTATGGTGAAGCTACTGGTGAATGGCTAGGTTTGTCTGTCAGCGTAAGTTTTGCCAGTTTCTTAGTTAAGTAGCAACAGTACTTGTATTTATATGTATTTATGTGTACTATTCATTCCACCAATGAGTGGTAAGAACAACAGAAAAAAGATAACAGACATAAAGAAAGTGCGCACAGGGAGACTTAAGCTAATTTTACAAATACCTAGAATTACAAGATAGTCTTAAAATTTTATTCACATTTGCAAATGGGAATGGGTGCAATTTGATTGGATGAGACAAAAAAATCACTATTTTAAAAAAAGATAGACTAAGAGTATTGAACATTTTTATTCTGTTTAATAGAACTTACTTTCAGAGATATAGTCTAGAATATTTATAATGAAATGATATGATGTCCTGGGTTGTTGTTGTTATGTGCCATCAAGTTGCTTGCGACTCATAGCCACCCTATGTATAAGAGCTCTAAACGCCGGCCTATCCTGTGCCAACCTAGCCATCTCAAATGCACTCATTCCCACCACTCCACTCACAGAATTGATCCATCTCATCGAAGGTTTTCCTCTCCTTCGCTGCCCCTCCACTCTGCCAAACATGATGTCCCTCTCCAAGGACCAGACCCTCCTTGCAACATGCCCAAAGTATGTCAGACGAGGCTTCAGAATCCTTGACTCCAAGGAGCATTCCGGCTTCATCTTCTCTAGAACAAACCTGTTTGTTCTCCTAGCAGTCCATGGTATATTCAACACTCTTCTCTAGCACCACAGCTCAAAGGCATCAATTCTCTATCATCCCTATTCACTGTCCAACTCTCTGATGTATAGCATGTAATTGCGAAGACTACAGCCCGGATCAGGTGCAACTTTGTCTCCAGCCGGATGTCATTGCTCTTCAGTACTCTTGAGAGGTTCCTCACAGCCGACTTTCCCAATGCAATTTGTCTCTTTATTTCCTGGCTGCTGTTACCAAGAGCGCTGACTGTGGAGCCAAGTAAACTAAAACTGTTAACTATCTCAATCTTTTCACCATCCATACTGATGCTGCCAATTGGCCCAGTGGTGAGAATCTTTGTTTTCTTGATGTTGAGATTCAATCCATATAGGAGGCTGCAATCCTTGACCTGTAGCAAGCGATTCAGGTCCTCCTCAGTTTCAGCAAGCAGGGTTGTGTCATCTGCACAAATATTCCTCGTGTATGGCTGACTATCAGATGTGTAGGCTGGGTTTAGAAGAGGCTGTGGCACTAAGGACATTATAGCCCACATTAGATGGATCTTAGCTGAAAGCAGAGAGTACCAGAAGAATGTCTGTGTTCCATTGACTATGTAAGCAAAGATATTTGACTTGTTTGGATGGCAACAAATTGTGGCTAACCTTGAGAATAATGAAAATCCCAGGACACTTGATTGTGCTTATGTAAAACCTAACCAGAAAGAAGTCATCAGAACCGAGCAAGGAAATACTGAATGGTTCAGTGTACGGAACCATGGAACCAGAAATGACAGAGATGCATTCTATTTCCATAGTTTTCCAATTTATATGTTGAACAGATCATTAAGTCCAGGAAGCTGGACTTTAATAGGAAAAATGTGGCATTAGGCTTGGAGGAAGACTCATCAACAACCTGCATTATGCAGATGACCCAACCTTTCTTGCTGAAACTGTGGAGGACCTGAGGTGTCTGCTGCAGAAGGTCAAGAACTGTAGCCTTCAATATGGATTGATGATCAACATCAAGAAAACAAAGATTCTCACCACTGGGCCGATTGGCAGCATCATGATAGATGGTGAAGAGATTAAGATTGTTGACAGCTTCAGTTTGCTTAGCTCCACAATCAACATTCTTGGCACCAGCAGCCAGGAAATTAAAAATTGAATTGCATTGGAAAAATCTGCTGTCAGGGACCTTTCCATAGTACTAAAGAGCAATAATGTCAGTT